ACTTTGTTACGTAAAATTAAATTATAATAAAAAAATTTGAATTAAAAAAATTACACAAAACAAGAATTTTTAAAAAATTAATTTAATATTAATATTCATATACTCTTTTTAAAATTTATATATTATTCAAGAATATAAAAACACTATCACTTTCTTAAAACCATATAAAACTGTATTATATCGACATAGATAAATAATAAAACGAGACATTGAAATCGAGATATCTCTCTGTAAAATATGAAACAAAATAAAATACGTTTAATTTTTACATAATTTATATAAAAAAATCTAAAAGGAAAGACTTAATTGATCTGAAAAATTAACTAAAATAGCCAATCTCTTCATCCAAATTCATTTTTTAACCACTTTAAATCGGGTTCCCATTTTAATTGACTTTATGCAAATTGTAAACTCGATTTTCAGATTAAAGAATATTTTTTTAGATTAAAAAAATCTTCCTCAATTTTGCATAAAGAATATTTTTTTTGTTTACTATTTAATCTGAAAATAAGTTTCACTCAAATTCGTAAGACTTTTATGTAAAACTGATTAAGGGGGTGTTTGAAACTGCTTATTTAAAACATCTTATGTTTTTTTTTTGTAAAGTGCTTATTAATTTATGTGGTGTCAAATCGGAGTTTTATAAAAATTGTTTGGATTAGCTTATGACGGTATCAAAATGTAATAAGCTGATAAGTTGTTTTTTAGTGTTTGACAAATTTTGCTTATACATATAAAATGACAAAAAAAATGACATTCTTCTATATTATTTACTTATTTGTTTTTTGAAAATATAACAATATATTTTTTTATCATTTATAATAATAATTTTGACAAAAATTTATATCAATAACATTAATAATTTACAACAAAAAAGTTACTAACTTAAATAACAAAAATTTATACCAATAACATAAATAATAGATTTTTAGGAAGATGTGTAGTGTCTGGCTATACATCCTTGAACCTTCTTCAAATCCTGGAAAACATGTCACCGTGTTAATGCATTATTGTGTCGTTGGTGAGGAATTATTATGTCGTTGGTAAGGAATTAGTTCTAGCTACAATGGAGAAACCAGTGGAGAAATCGAGCGATGATGTACAACAATGATGGAGAAACCAATGGAGATTCAAACGACGAGGAGGAACCAGTAGAGGACGAGGAGAAACCAATGGAGATCGATGAGAGAAATCGTGCATATGAGGAGAAAACATGCAAATAAGATGGATAGATTGAACATACAGGTTTTGAGGGTTAAAGAAAGTAGTAAAAAGATAATTTGGTTTTCAAAGCTGATGAGTTGTTTCAAATAAGTTATAAGAGAGTAACTTATCAAAAACTATTTATTATCGGTGTCAAACCGGTATAAATATCTTTTTTTTTTCTCATCTAAATACTAAAAACTCTTTATTACCGATACCACAGCAAAATAAATTAATAAACACTTTAAATAGGCAATCCAAAACATACTCTAAAATAGAATTTAAGGGGTCGTTTACTCGGGTAAGTGAATACCAAGTCATATTATCTTATCGGATAAATATGGTAAGGACCAATAATTTTACCCAATAAGAGCGAAACAAGGACCACGAGTCTTACCTAGTAAGTGAGAGTAACGACTCTTACCATGATAAGAGTTTACCGGGTAAATTGTTGCATACGATACCGTTTTGGTGGACTAAAATCTTATCTGTTAAGTAAATGATAGTGTTAAATTTTACTAGTAAACGTTTACCGGGTAAGTGTTTATCGGTAAAATTCAACACTATTATTTACGTACCACGTAAGAATTTAGTCCACCAAAACGATATCATATGCAACACTTTACCCGGTAAACGCTTAACATGGTAAGAGACGCCGCCCTTACTTATCGGGTAAGATTCATGGTCCTTGTCTCGCTCTTACCGGGTAAGATTTTTGGTCCTTACCATATTCGTCCGGTGAGGTAACATAACTTGGTAAACACTTATTCAGGTAAGTATTTGGTAAACGGCCCCTAAATTTAAAAATACTTTTAAAAAAAGTAGAAGGGTACTCGCGCAATGCAACGAGATACATATTGTTTTTAATATTTCATTTTTTTATCTCAATCGATGTTATAGTATGGTCTTATGTGATTTTGAAAAAAAACAATGATGTTTTTATTTTTGAATAAAATATAAATTTAAAGATATTATAAAAATTTGACAAAAATATATCGATATTAGTATTAAATTAAATATTAAAATTTATATTTTTTGTGTAATTTTGTAATTCAACTTTTTTGTTATAATTTAATTTAGGTTCAATAACAAAGTAATTTATATTTKGTTTAATAATATAATTTTCTTATGAAGATAATAATTAATTATTTTGTTAGAACTTGATAATTATCCTAATTATATTTTAGATTTTTAATATTTTAAAATGAGATGTTTATCCTCTATTTGATTATGTTTATCCGCATTTAGTTACACCAATTCAAACATGAAACTTTAATAAGTTGTATTTATGCATAATCTACTTGTAATCTTGAATTTTAAGTAATATTCATTAATGTACAATACTTTATGCATAAAAAATGGTTTTTAAAAGTTTTTGTCAAATGCTTTATAATATAATATAGATATAATTTAATTTAGGTTCAATAACAAAGTAATTTATTTTTGGTTTAATAATATAATATTTTATAAAGATAATAATTAAGTATTCTGTTAGAACTTGATGATTATCTTAATTATATTTTAGATTTTTTATATTTAAAATGAGATGTTTATCCTCTATTTGATTATGTTTATCTGCAATTAGTTACACGAATTCTAACATGAAGCTTTAATAAGTTGTACTTATTCACAATCTACTTGCATTCTTGAGTTTTAAGTAATATACATCAATAAACAGTATTTTACGTATAAAAAATGGTTTTTAAGAATTTTTATTAAATATTTTATAATATAGTATAGATGACTTTCATCATTGATTTAATTGAGTTTGAGAGCTTTGTCACAATAGGGAGAATGAGCGCAGGCACACTGTATTAAAGGGTACGACGAATCGCACACAATTTATCCCAAACTTGTTGTTCCCGCCGATACAATATATATTCACCGGCACCACCGGTCTATCTCTTTCTCACGACACACATTTGTTCCACTCGAACCCCAAAACGACGAACACAAAAATCATTTAAAATACTCTCGAACCCCTTATATGTTCCTCTCAAAATCCTATCTTTTGCTCAAAAATTAGGGTTTCAAAGGGGGTAATAGAATGTACAGGGAGAGAACTGGAGGAGGATCCAAGGCCAAAATGGAGCGATCTTCAACGGTCACAAGTTCCAGAGGAGGTGGAGGATCGAATTTGAATGGAAAAGATGCTAATAAAGATCGTTCTTCGCCAGGAAACTCCAAACTTTCTTCTTTTTCTAGGTCTTCTTACCCCAATAAGAAACTCTCCAAAGGTTTTCCTTCTCTCTCTCTCTCTCTATCCATCTTTTGAGATTTATGCTCTATTAGTTTGGAAGGAAACCAATTTGATGTGAATTTTGGTTTTTATTTATTATTGTAGACATGTTTGTTTTCTTTTTATACCGATTTTATGCTTTTTGATGTGTAACTTATGAGACTATATGATAGAGAAGATGAGGGGGGAGACATAAGTCAATTCTGGGTGGTACCTCTCCTTGTTTGTGGGCTGCTATTAACTTTCCATTATGGTTCTGGGTGACTTAATTGGAGGTTATTAGGTCAGTGTATTGCTTTGAGCTTTGGCTATGCAAATTGTAACAGGAAAGTAAAATGAGGGAAATTAATTTTAGCATGTGGGTATGGACATATTTGCTTTCTTCATTTTCAGCATGAGTGATAGATTAAGCGACTCTTCATGATAAATTGAATTGCAGAACCTAATAAACCCTTGGTGATGGAAATGATTAGCCATGACTCAGTGAGGGCATTCTTGGTTTCCTTGAAATCAAATTTTCAGATAATTAGGGAGAGGTTGAGGGATCAGGGGACAAGGCCTTAACAGATTCTGCTGCATTATCTAGAACCCCTAATGGAAGCAAAAGCTCAAACTGTATCAAGTTTTCAGGCTAACAAAGTAAATGAACATCCACACACCCCATAGGTGAAGGAGGAAGGAACATGTGGAAGAAGATGTGAATGTGATGGTGATCACGGAATCACCTGCAAAAAAGATACGATTCTAATTTCTAACGTGCCATTCTGGGAATAATAAAAATGACGTTTTATGGGAGGCTGTAGGCTGTCATCTCAAAAGGGTGTTTCACGTTATGGGTTTGAAGATGTGAAGGTAGGCCTGTACAGCTAGAGCTGGTAAGTGAAGGAACATTATGTGCTTGCAGGAGACTGACGGATTATCTTTAGTTTTTTTCAGTAAGCATTTGTATAAGCAGTTGATCTCCTGTTAGTTTACATGCATCATAAAGTGGGTTACAACTCACAAGTACTTTTGTGGGTTTTGATTCTACTGTGCAAGAGAAGATGGTCATGTATGGATAGAGTGTTGTGCTTTCAATAATGTTTTTCTCTGTGTTTTCCCTGGCTGTTATAGTAGCAATAAACATATGACCTTCATAACAATTTTAAAGAGATGCACTATCTTCAAATATTGGCACTACAAGTAAAACAATCATTAAACACTTGCATAAAGCACAAATTTGTGAAAGAATGCAAAGCTTAGAGGATAGCCTACATAAGGAGGTGAGGTGATTCTCATTCACAGTTTTTTAGATGCAGTCCTCAAAAATCAAATAATAAGGATCATCAGCATATATCAAATTGATTTGCCTGATTGGCTGAAATCAGGAAAAACACCAAGTGTAGTGGAAATTGCTGATTCTGCCAACTTTTTATTTGTGAGATTGCTTGAAGCAGAAGTGGAGATTTCAGAATTTCTCAAGATCAAGTAGGTAATGTGTCACCCCATATTCGTGATGTGAAGTTGCATCATAAGGTCTAAAGCTAGGTGCTGTGAAATTTATCCACCAGGCAGGCAATATCCAGCATCATTTTACAGGTGGTGCACCCTCATATCTTTGAGCTGGAAGGAGCTAGCTTTGCTGTCTTGGAAGGGTCTCTCCCTGGTTCATTATCTTATGCTTTCATGTCATGTTTTTCGTTTTTTTTGTGTGTAGCTTGTCTGGTTCATGTTACCAATTTACAATTTTTAATGATGTTGAGATCTGAGGTGGGGTTGTTTCCATGTATACAACTATATACTCCTGCTTTTTATGGCCACACAAGTGGAACATAAGGTAAAAAAGATGGCAGAAGAGAGTAACTGTGATATTATAACTCATGTTTCACTTGGTACTTTTTATGCTTTGGTAACCATCACTTTTGGTTCTGAATTCTTATCATTGAATTTTCAAGTTCCATTCACCTGAACTTATTTACATTATGTTGATCAAATTTTTCTAACAAACGCTTTCTTACTATAGGAGAGGAAAATGTAGTAGAGGAATCTGAAACAGATAGCGAGGAATCTGATGTTAGTGGCTCTGATGGGGAGGACACATCTTGGATATCATGGTTTTGCAGCCTGCGTGGAAATGAGTTTTTCTGTGAAGTTGATGAAAATTACATCCAAGATGATTTTAATCTATGTGGTTTGAGCAGCCAAGTTCCCTATTATGATTATGCTCTTGATTTGATCCTGGACGTTGAATCCTCTCATGGTAAAGCTTAATCTAAAAATCTTTACCAAATATGTCTTTTAAATTAAGGATACGGGCATCTCATGTATTTGAAGTTGTCTGAAGAGGGAAATACTTGCACGTCAAGGTGCTCGTTTATGAATCCAAAATAGCCTTTTCAACGAATTTAGCTTTTTTATTTGGCTGAGTGGGAAGGGTGCCTTGACCAGCGTCTGTTTGAAGCACCACAAAGTTTTCTCACCTTTGAACTTTTCAAGGAGTGGACAAGAAGCAGATTTTATGTTTCTTTTGTAGGAACACCGTTCCCATTTTATCTTTCCGGTTGCCATCTCTTATAATATTTGCCATTTCATCCAAGTGATCAAGTGCTACTAAATCTTGATGAAGGGTATAATTTGGATTTCTGTAAGTTAGGCTAAGTAAATTGGTTGCAGCAGATTATAATTCTGATATCCAAGGTAAATGAAGGTGATATATATATATATATATATATATGTCTGTATGCATGTACATATAAAGAAGTCTTATGTTGTGAATACCTACAAGTTCTACGGTTTTGACATTTGAGTTTCTTCTCATACTATTCCTTCCCATCTTAAGCATTTTATTTCCATCGTGTCATTCTTCTCATAAATTGGTTGTTTTAATCCTTCCTTATCATGTTTTCGTGCATGTTATTGGAATATGACATGCTAAGATCACGACTACAAGCCTTTGTGCGTTTATTTCATATGCAATTTGACTTGGTTTGACAAACGCAGGTGATATGTTTTCAGAAGAACAAAACGAAATCATTGAATCAGCAGCAGAGATGCTTTATGGTCTTATTCATGTACGATATATCTTAACGACCAAAGGATTGGGTGCCATGGTAAGAATTTGTTTTTTTTTTAATCCCAAATTGATAGTTCTACGCATCTGTATAAAGTTAACAATTGAGCAAATGGTTCCCTTTAACAGCTCGAGAAGTACAAGAATGCAGAATTTGGCAGGTGCCCACGAGTGTACTGCTGTGGTCAACCCTGCCTTCCTGTTGGTCAATCAGACGTTTCTCGACAAAGCAATGTAAAAATTTTCTGTCCGAAATGTGAAGATCTCTACACCCCTCAATCCAGGTTTCAAGATAGTATCCTTTTTGGTTGCAATTTATGGCTAATTGTCCCATCAAAGAGTCCATATCTGAGTTTTGGGTGTTTAAAGTTGTTTACTTTTTCGATCTTTTGGTAAATATCGTTTTGGGTTAACAAAACAAATCTTGAAAACAACAAGAACCACCAAAAGTAAGTATGCCCTCCTTTTCCTTTCAAATTTACTGATATGTCTATTAACAACCATTACAATATATCGATGAGATCGAATGTGATCTACAAGTTTTCTCAATCTTTAAAAGGGTATTTCAAGTATTTGATCAAAGTTGTTATAAAACTCTAAATTTGAAGTTCAATATTAGATTTGAATGTATGTTGATCTTAACAGCAAGTAGACCTGGATGGAGCCTATTTCGGGTCAACATTTCCTCACCTGTTCTTGATGACGTACGGACACCTAAAGCCACAAAAGACATCACAGGAGTACGTTCCTCGAGTCTTCGGCTTCAAGGTCCACAAGCCATGATGACATCGACCATGGATGAATACGCGATGTGCTTTCGAGTCGCTTTGGCCAGACCCATGTTAGTATTCTCGTTCTTTCTCAAGATATAACGACGATTAATCAACAACTTACGGCTTAACTTCAAAAGCCACCCTCATAAGAAATCACATCACAACCTTAAGATCCTATTTCATATATGATATATTATGTTAAAAACACCACCAAAATTGGAAGGAAAAGAAAAAAGAAATGTGTGCCAGGAGTGATCTGCTTCTTGTCTTTATGATCATCTTATTTGTATGAGTACTGATTTTGTCAGTTAGGAAGGTTTTTTCCCCCCCTCTGAAATGCATTCAAAACTTTGACTTCTTAAATATGTATTATTTGTAGTTCATGTTTGATGATACAGATAGTCATTTACCCCTGTAACTCTTTATTTTTACTTTTACTTTTACTTCTTTTGTGATGATTTACTTATCGTTATTATTATTTGGGATAACGCGTTGTTTATTGATCATGAGAATATATCATGAATCGTATGGATCAGAAGTGGTGCGCAAAGATTGATTCAAGACCGATTTCATAGAAGAATTGCTTGTAAAGAACCGTCTTCAGTTTGGTCGAATTCAAACCCCGAACTGAAACGTTTCCGTTCTCAAATTTTAAACAATGTCGTTTTAGGTTTATCTTTTAAAATAAAAAATGTCGCAACTTTATGTTTGGTCAAGGTGCGTTTGGTATGTAATACTGGATCAAAAACGACACTTAAATTGGAACAAGATGGAGCTGAATGGCATCTTTTGTCCCACCAAAACAGATGGAAAAAAAAAAGGAAATGAGAGAAGATGGTAAATTTTTGGTAATTAATTTGAGATTTTAATTAAATTTATTATTTATTAATGGGGTCATTAATTTAATTTAAAATTATATACTTAAATTACTTGTATTGTATAAAACGCAGTCATAATGGTTAAGTTTCGAACAAGCCCACTTTTTGTAATGAAAGATCAAAAACAAAATTATGGTATTAAATAAATCATAATTAGTTTTTAATTTGCAACCAAATTTCCAAATTTTTTTAATTGAAAACAAATGTATATTTTATTTAAGAAGACAAAACCTGTCATTTTATAAATTGTTCCATAAAAAAGTCAACGAATATATTTATCAAAATACGTATTATGTTAATAAATATATTTATCAATACATATCTATTATATATGATCTTCAAGAAAGTTATGTTGAGAAGTATAAAAAGAGATATTCATCCTTGAATCAATCATAAATGAATGTCTAATACTAATGAGGTGTATATAGATACACCAAATCAATTCCCTTCTAAAGCATAATTCATGGACGGACATGAGATTAAAAATGATCAAAGGTTCAGATTTTTTTCTTACGCTTCTCACTGTAACTTAGCTTTCTCACACGATCCTTCGCCTCTATATGAAATGTCAATGTGTGTGTATAGAAAATTTATTTTGCAAACCACGTTATTTGTACAAATCGTATAAACTTTATTCAACCAATCATAATTTTTCATTTTGTTCATTTTTTTGTAATTATGAGAGGTTGGTTAATCTTTTTTTATTGTGGAGGGTGTTAATAATGGATATTATCATCTTAATTATATTAATTTTATAGAATTACATGAAACAGTTTCATGAACCGTACATGAAACAACTTCATTAAAATTTCATAACCATATATGAAACAACTTTATCAAAAAAGTATTATATGAAACAATTTCATAAGATTAAACAATTTCATGAAAAAAAAAAATCATCAGATTAAACAATGAAATCGACAAATGAGGGTGGTTTGCACGGTTTGTACAAATATGGGTAGTTTGCATTGATCACTCCTCTATATGTGTGTGTGTGTGTGTGGGGGGGGGGGGTAATCTTTTGAGAACCTGTAAAATTGTAATAACCTTGAGAAAACTAATGCATTACATGTTATTTCAAATGAATTTTTTCTAGAATTTGATGTAGTGATTTAACATATATTACGTTCACAACGTGTTTGTTTCAGATGTACTCGGTTGACAATGTGAATGTTTCCTATGAGTTCGTGAAACAAAAGAGTTTCACATCGTAAACCGAATACATATGAAACAAACAGTTTATGAAACAAATATATGTTAATCAATACATTAAATATTAAACTTAGATGGAAAAAAAACATGCAAAACAAAACCTTAAGTTAGAAATTCCCTTAGATCTCATAGATTTTAGAGTTATCAAATAATTTAAACATACTTCAAACATAGATACACACACACACACACACACACACACACATATATATATATATATATATATATATATATATATATATGTTTTCAGTA